TTGACGATGTTTTATATTGGAACTTTCCATAGTTTTTCATGAATTTGGCTATTCTATGAACCGTATCCCAGTGAATTCATTAGTGTAAAGCTCTAAATTCTTATTTTGCTAAATTCTTATTTTGGGAATACATCCTGAGGAACCTTCACTAAATCTTCTCGCTCTCGAACTTACAGACACAGGAAATAAGGTTCTGAGTTAGACATTCTCTGAAAACCTCTAGTAAGCCTACCACGGGACTTATCTATGAACATCAAATATTTCCTATTTTCAATTCTTTAAGTTTCCTCAGTGGTTTACCCCAATGTAGCTGAGCTGTCTGAGCCCTAAACATATTTGCTTGGTGTCGCGTTATTTTCGTGTCGATGCTATTCTCGTTGAGTCGTGAATTCGACATTTTCTTCTTGTGGAACTCATGGAGTTTGGTATTTGACCAGAAAAAGGCATGAACCTCGATGCGTGAGGTTCGAGCCATCATTGGGTCGCGAGCATCGTTTACTCTGCATTTCGGAGATGTTTGCCCAACTTTTGACCGTCGTTGGGCCGCCTCGACCTGACCGTCGACTCCCTTTTACCTCACCTCACCTCTCATACACACACGATCACCACGAGTGCACGGCGAGTCAGTTAAGGGGTCAACTAGGGACAATAGCCATATTGGCTGCAGCTTGACAGGGAAATGCTCTATCAGGGATACTGATATACCGTTTTCGAACTACGCACTACAATAAGTAGGGCAGTAGTTGAGGACATAGTCCTCTGTATACCTAAAAAAGTTGAAACAAAACATGAAAACTTCATCTAATGGTAAATATCAGGTAGATATTCAGGAATCAATGGTAATCAAAAGCATAGACTTGCGTGGATAAAACGTATCGAAGGCATAGCACACACGGAAGGGGAATGGACCTGGCTTGGATTGTTATGGGATCAAAACCTTTTCCCCGTTGTATGCCCTTTACAAACTAGATTCAAATGAAAATTCCGTCATTAGACTGCTGAGTTACAGGCAGGACATATGTCTGTCACGATTCAAACCCATTCCTATGCTCCTGGTCAGTATACAATAAAGGCGTAGTATACAGGCGTCTACGTGGCCGAATTTCGTTTCTAGTTGTTCATGGTTGTTCGCTTCTGGTCAGCAGCACAATGATTGCTACATCTGGCTCCACGCTGGGAAGCTGTAGCATGTTGACTATTCACTGTCCGTAGGGAGACAAGGCTCCATTTCGTAGTCAGCCGACGGATTACAATACAGAAAAGGCTTGAAGTTTAGTCGGTAACAATGAGTTTCATCGGAAAAAGAAATCGTAAGGACGGAAGACAACTTGGGACCGCCTAACAACGTGGGTAATGTGTTGGAGATATTGTCCACTA